TAATCGCTAACAAACTCAATGTGCGAAATTCTAAAAAAAATCTTAGGAACGAACACTCGCAATCGAGAGCTTCGTTTCGACGTCGAATTCCCTCGGGCTGCTTTTGATAAATCGTTTCAGTCGAATTTCCGGCAATACCGGTCTGTGAAAAATTGCCACGATTTTTCATTGAACCGTCATAAAATCGACCGAAGGTAAACGTGAGCTACGACGGAAACGATACGATATATCGCCGCTGATTATCGCGCAACGAACAAACAGAGAACGCCTATCCCGGAGTTTTCACTGCGTATCACGTACCGCGTATCGCGAGCCAGCTTACGATATCGCAGCATGAAACTCCACGATTCGGTGCAGAACGATCGATCAACGACTTCTGGTTCGCTTTACTGCCTGTTACGTTTTACGCTCGCGTTTATTGCCAGCTACTAGCTAAGACTGTAAAGTTCGGGCGAACAGAAAGAATTTAAGTTGGAAATGGAGATCGATTTGCAGCAACCGATTTTGATCCATTTTGTCAACAGTCTCTCTCGGTATTTCTGGTCACTCTGAGAATATCTCAAATATTACGCCGATTTTATCAGAACGTGTCGAAGTACATAAAAACATCTAATTTCAAGGAAACGCACATATAAAAATGCTCGTTAACTGGCTGCTTTTTATTTACGTTCAAACACGATAAAAGCGCATTGGCGATATCGCGCTATCGATCAGCTAATAATGAATTACCGTTCAATTTGTAATTGAAAGCATTCAACTTTAACTGCATTTTTACTGCGAACTTAAACGGAATGTTGCGGACGTTTCGGAAAAACCAACGTTCAAAAATAAAACCAACATATTCCTAAACTTTCAGATTTAGTCCGAAATGCAGCGGCAGTGATATTCGAGCAATTTAACTTTTCGAGGAAGTCGTTCTCGAGAATCTAGGCTGGATTATTAGGAATCGTCGCCCCCTAGTACAAATCCAAATTTTAAAGTTTCTGCTGAAACTCAAAGTTCCAGCGAGCGTAAACATTTGTATCGCCACGCATCCATAAACTAGCCGTCGAAATCTTGTCCTCGCTAGTAAAGATATCCATAAGCAACATCTGCATATAGTAAAGAAGGCTCGTTTCCTTTTTCCTGGTAAATTTTTCTTCTTCGTAAACATATCGTCGTTTATTATCTCGTCCGTAACCCCCTGTTCTCTCCGGCTCGGGTGTAAAATTATTAATGTCCGTAAGGTTTATCCGCTGGTAGATTCGAAAACGGCTGGTCGCAACTTAGGGTAGTCTCTATATAATACAAGTGCCGTCTGATAAAGGAGCTCAGAGACAAGATGGATGAGACGAGATAAAGCCGGCCCAGGTCTGGCACTCGATGTCGCTAAACAGAGCAAAGAAAAAAAAAAAGAAAAAAAGAAAAGAAAGAACTGAACCAAAGACGTTGAACCATCATCGATCTTTTTTATGTTCGCGCTTTAGAGAAGGCTGAGATCCGGGGGTCGACGACTTAATTAAAAATAAGGCAGCTCGTTAAATTAGCAACAACGATTTTCCCATGATTCAAGAGATCTCTGTGATCCAAGAGATGTCAACCATAAGACCGAGATGTGAGTGCCGTCTCTTGGTAAAACGCGACGAGATTCTTCGAATCGAATCGAGTTGTTTATCTTTTGCATAATATGAGTAATAAATACTCATATTATAAATATATATACACAAAATAAATTGGTCAGTCGAAAATACCATTCTTCGAGATTGATCAAATTTACAGACTTGTAAACCTACCGGTCTAGTAAAGAGAAGAATCTCGTTCATGGCCGTCGACTGGATTTGAACGAAATACGAAATAATCCATTTACCATTGCGTCGCCGTAAGTCGTTTCGTCTCTGTTTCATTTTTGATTACCTCGCGTCGCAAAAGAAAAGCGTAGGAAAAGTAATTAAGACATTTTCAGGAGAAACGTCATTTCTATCGGGTTAGCGAACCGGTCAGGACACTTGTCACTTCGAACAATAAATTCACGTCCAAGGATTGAAATTAAGTCCTTAATACCAGCCTCGCGACAAAAACGAATGATCTTACCTCTGTTCCCCGATTTTCTCATCGAGGTCGTGCTGGGTTTCGCTTTGTCCTTCCCACTGTTCCCGGTGGTTCCGGGCGTCCCATTCGCTGGATAAGAAGCTTACCGACCGAGGATAATCAGACCGCATTCAATTTTCTATCAGACCTCACCTCTCAGTCGCTGCCAGACCGGAATCGAAAACCGGCATTCGGCTCTTTTTCCTGTGAAATCACGGTAGCTCGGCTTGTCCGTGGGCCCGGGTGCGGCCACCTCGCGCGCTCCACTTTCGAATCGGCCGGCTAGAATTGGATTTCAGCAGGAGTACAACCGAAGAAGTGCATCTTCAGCGTGGTGTGTCCGGGACGAGAGGCTGGTTAAGCGGCGCTTAACCTAAT